AGCAGGATGCCTGCGTAAGTATCTCTCTCCCAGGGGCCTGTGGACAGCTCCTCCGGAAACCTTCTTGGAGCTCTAGGCCATCAAAGGGCTGGCCGAAAGTATCAGGAATGTGTGTGTTTATGTTTATAGTCTGTAGACAGGCAGATCATCAAGAAACGGGGTAGGGTTAGGTATTGAAACCTACATTAAGAAATCAGAACCTACATGCAGAAATCAGAACCCACATTCAGAAATCAGAAGTGGGTTGGTGCCTTTGTGTGGCGCATAGCCAGGAGCTCTAAAGCAGAGGAGTGAAGGTCTGGACAAGGGTGGGTGGGGCTGGTGTGGTCTGGGCAACGCCAAGGGCCGCCTGCCCAGCCCTACCCTTTCCCCTGACCTTACTCAGGGACCCAGCAGATGTACCTCAGTAGTCTCTAACCCCCGGCCTCTCCCCAGTGCTATGGGGTGGGGATGCCAGATCCTGCTGCCAGCAGGAAAACACTCTGTATGAAACATTGCCTGTCAGTGTTTTGCCCAGAACCCCCACTCCGTGCTGATGGTTGCTGGACTGTTCCCAGACTTGGTAGCCGTGAGGAGGAGTCACGCTACTTTGCGGCTACTGTGACTCTGAGATTATGCTCTTGACAATATTCCAGCATTGTCAGAGCCAGGCATCCAAAAATTATGAGTCAGGTCTTCCAAAGTCAGTCGGCTGGCTCAGAAACCGTATGACTGGTAAAAATAACACACCGGGGTTCTTTCTCTTTGCTGGCTGCTTTTGGAGCCGTTAGGGTGTACTCGGGGCACATTGTCAAAGTTTTCTGCGCAGCCGTGTGGGCTAGAAACTTACTAGTGAAAAAATAAAAGCGGAGACTCTTGGCCCAATCACTTGTGTCCCGGTGATGGGGCTTTAAGAAAAACAACTGTCATAAGAATGGCGATGACATTGCAAACCTTGGCACCACTGTTAAGATGTTGGGCCTGGGGGCTCGTGGCCTCCAGCGGAGGTTTGTGCAATCTTGCACACACACTTTGCACTCACACACTTACAAGTGAGTCATGTGTTGGTGTGTGAACGTGCACAGAAGTGGCGATCGAGCACTGGCCTGTGCCAGCGTTCTTGCCTGAGTGTCCCTTGGCAGGGCTGCTCCTCTGACATTGTCCGCACCCGGGGGCAGGCGTGGGGGGCATCTGTAAAAGCACGTGCAGGCTCCTTGAGGCTTGTGGGGGGAGCCCTGCTGATTCTGTGTTCCCCTCTTGCGGATTTGCCCACAGAGACCCTGTGGAAGAGGAGACGTGGTCTCTGAGGGGCAGGCAGTGGTTGTGGGGGAGCACGTGGGGTTTACAGAGACACTCCTTCTTAATCCGTTTCACACACAGAGAATGGAAAGTGACTGTCTAGGAGAGAGTCCCGCAGAAAGGGATCTAGGGGTCAGAGTGGGACCACAAGCTAAATATGAGTCAACAGTGTGACGCTGTTGACAAAAAAGGAAACACAATTCTGGGATGCATGGACAGGAGTGTTTTGAGCAAGACACGAGAAGTCATTCTTCCGCTCTACTCTGCACTGGTCAGGCTTCAATTGGAATATTGTGTCCAGTGCTGGGCACCACATTTCAAGAAAGATGTGGAGAAATTGGAGACGGTCCAGAGGAGAGCAACAACAATGAGAACATGGGCTAGGAGGGACGGCTGAAAGAACTGGGCTTGTTGAGTTTAAAAAAGAGAAGATGGAGAGGGGACATGAGAGCAGCTTTCAAGTGTCTAAAAGGGTGTTACAAGGAGGAGGGAGAAAAATTGTTCCCCTTGGTCTCTGGTGACAGGACAAGAAGCAAGGAGCTTGAACTGCAGCGAGGGAGGTTTAGGTTGGACATTAGGAAAAACTTCCTGTCCGGGTGATCAAACCCTGGAATAAGTGGCCTAGGGGGGCTGTGGAATCCCCATCCCTGGAGACATTTAAGTGCAGGCTGGACAGACACTGCTAGGGATGCTCTAGACAGTGCTGGGCCCTGCTGGGAAGGCCCTCACCCTGCAGGGCAGCCCCAAGGCCTCCCAGGCGCCATGGCGACCCCAGCCAGTGGTTTGACCGCAAGGCCTGCTGGGAAGTGTAGTCCCCAGGGGGGAGTCCAGGCAGGCCCGAGCCCCTGGCAGAGCCTGCTGGGAAATAAGGGGCGGTTAGGAGAGAGCCCCAGGGCGGGCCAGAGGCCTGGAGCTGTCAGGCCCTTGAGGCAGTCCCTGCAGTGTCCTGCCTGTGGGGCAGCCCC